GGCAGCATCAACTTGGAAAATGGGATTTTTTGAGCAAAAGCAGAGGAACATATTATGAAGGACTAATGTTCCCTATGCTTGTTACTGAACAACTTGAGCTTTGGCCTGAACAACATGTTAGGCAAAGAATCTGGGTTAGTACCTAAAAACCAATCATTTTTAGATATAGATATTTTGAATCATTATATATATGAGCTTTTTTACTGATTATTTGTTTTTTTACGAATTTTCGGGGGATTACAGATGAACGTAGTGGAAGCAAGAGAAGCTTGTAGAGATTGGTGGATGAAAGAAGCATTAGATGTTTTGGTTGAGAGACTCTCATCACCAATGAATCAACCAAAAGAAGACAAGACTATTTCAATCTCTATTGAAACAATGTGCTGATTGTGTTGGGGAGTTTATGAACTAATGGATCTCTGTAGATATATAAAATAGACGGGTTTCAATTAGTATTGAGACATCGAAAAATCGGTTTCGAAAAGAAACAAGATGCAGAGCAGGAAAAACAAAGAGAGATGGGTAGATTTCTAGGTTTTGGAAGTTATGACCAACATGATGTGATTTAAGAAGTCTTGTGTTTGTGTTTATAATGTTTCCGCAAGATTTGCTTAAGGAATGATTAAGGAGGGAAGAAGATAAACAAAGAGTGCAAGCAAAAACTGTACAATTGTGTTTCCCTCTTGTTTATGTTTAATCTCTCTTTGAATTTGCAATGGAGACATTTGATTTCATAATGATCTTTGTGATTGAGATATATCATATATACAATTATGCAAGTGGGTGATACGTGTTGTGATGTGATTGGTTACAAGAAGAAAGACTTGTAATAAATTACTCCAATCATATGCTTGATATAATTGATATTATAACTATGAAATGGAAATTGTCATTTTCTAATTTTTATTATGAAAATATCAAAAAAGGTTGATGAGTCTTTATCAAAATTGGCTTTATCTTTTGGAAAACTTTGGTTCACATTTTTAGTAACTTTTTTTTCTCCAACTACCTATTCATTGTCTCCAACCAACATTCTTAGCAATTAGTTTATAGGCATAGTAAG